TCTCTCTCTCTCTCTCTCTCTCTCTCTCTCTCTCTCTCTCTCTCTCTCTCTCTCTCTCTCTCTCTCTCTCTCTCTCTCTCTCTCTCTCTCTCTCTCTCTCTCTCTCTCTCTCTCTCCCGACAGCAGCGCCTTTTTCCCTCTTCGTCATCCTCCCCTCTCTCTGTCCAGTTCTCCCTCATCATCCCCGCTTCTTCCACGCTCGGATACACCCACGCACCACGCAGGAGAAACAAAGATGGCGGTCGGCTACTAGTGTGTTTCGAGAAGTCGTCTCTGTGACAACCTTGGGTTTACCCATCCGTAAACTCACCGGAGCAACCCTTCGCGCGTACCTGCGAGCGACTACTCCGGTTGACGCATGAGTCTGGTCACCCCTCCCTATCTTTTTTTTTCTGTTTATCCCGACTTCTCGTCGGTCTCCCGCGATCGATTTAGACACGCGTTTTTCGATGGAAACATTAACTATATGAGGTGATTCTTCGAACAAACATTAAGTAAGGAATTTTAGTCTTTCTCATGAAAAATGGATGCCGATTTGACGAGCGAAATGTGTTTTCGAAAGCTAGCATTTCCATATTCTGGAATATTTCGCTTAAATTCCTTTCGTTTTTAAATTTAAGTCATCTTATTTTCTTAATTAAATATTATAATTTCAATTAAAGAAACTAAGGCTCCCATGAATAATTATTACGCACCAACGTCCGTGTCGGCTGGCATAGGTACTATTTAGTTATTTCTGATTTAAATATTTTAATATTTTGACATCTCATTGCTTATTCTATCGGCCTTTATTCTTATTCCTTTTTTAAATAATTTAATTTATTCAATTTTATTCAAGAATTAATATCAAATTATTAGACATAAATAATTATTTTATTCTCGTTTTGATTTTGTTGCGCTATAATATTGCTTTACGTTGATTTTAATTAATATAGTCTTTTATTATCCTTTTAAAAATTTTTTTTAGCATAAATCATATAAATAACATAATGAAATTTGTATTCTTGTAAGAGTAAATAAATTTGACGTATGTAACTTATTGTAAAGCGAAAGATTTCTTGATTAAGTAAGACAAGAAAATATTTGAAACAAGATTAACTGCTTACTATATCATCTTTTCTAATTTCCGCATATGCGACATCATAATGCGAATTCGCGAAAATGAAAGTATTGATGTTAAAAACAGCAAGATTTTTAAACTGCAGTATTAAAAGTAACATGTTTAACGAAATCCTCATTGCGTTTAAGTTTATATTTCGATGTTCATAAATTGTACAGCTTTTATAATTTGTCATAATTTTAAACGATTTCCTGAGTTTTCGAATAATCTAACAGTTAAAACAATTGGAACTTTGAGCTCCATATATTGTTAAATTCTACAAGTTTTACAGTCTTTCAAAATCATTAGGCCACGTAAGTTGTTCGAATCTCTAATCAATTCACAATCTCACGATCACAATATTTATCACATTATTTATTGCAATATAACTTTTATTTATATCGGTTCTCAATGATTATTAATATTTCTATATTTCAGTTTTAAGATACCAAGACGTTATCTAAGTCGAAAAATTTAAACTTAAAAAAAGACACTTAAAAAATTTGAGGAAAAATATTTTGTATCAACGCAAATATTTAAAAAGAAATAAGAATCTTTTTTTTTATCTTCGTTTTCGGTTTGTGGGTATCCCGGGGAAACGATACAACGAACAATAGGCACGCTGATATGCGATAGGGAGAGAATGAAACCTCCTCCCCCGAAAAATTTACTGCCGCGGGTCATTAATTTCACGATCGACCGAGGGTGAACGGTTTGAGGTGCCGCGAAGGATGTCACGCAAAGTACCCTCGTATACGTGGCCCAACCGAGTGTTTCCGCATGTACCTCGACGCGGTTGTCATACCTACCTACCTACCGCCACGCCACATCTATAGATTGCCGTCGTAATAAGACCTATGCAAATCCTAGACAGACCTTATGACGCCTTGGGGAATGGAAAGGGGGTGGGAAAGCGATGATAGGTGTGGTTGGCGGACGTCTAATCTTTAACCGCGAGTGGAGATCGATCATCATCCGCGTCGAGTTTTTCGCTAAACCATACGTTTCCCTTTCCTTGGCAGAGACCAACGTCGCAAACGATAATCTGATGATTTCGAGCGAGAGATGGACCGTTGAATTTATCAAATTAAACGATATATAAAACTCGAGGTATAAAACAGAGATTATTATGAAAATGATAAATTTCTATATGACTAATATTGAGCTTTTGAGATTAAAAAGAATAAGATTTGTTGAAATAATTCATACGATATAATATTATTATATATTATATTTAGATTATTATATTAATAGCATATATACTTTTCCTGTACATTACATGTACAGGAAAAATTATTTAATCTCGAGTCTCAATCCTTAATAATATTATATTTTGAATTATAATTTATATCTTCTTCGATCAACTTTTAAGAATGAAAATTGGAATATAGCGCAAATCTTTTTCTATTCAATCTATAACAGAGCTTCTCGCTGTTTTTATTGAATATGATAAATTGCATAGTCCTAGTTTATGGCACTGTTCCAAGAAAGATCCACTAACTGCTCTATATTTACCGCGTCAAAGTGAAGCCTATTATCCTATTTTGCGTATAAAGCAAGATCTATCTATTAATCACTGTGACGTGCAAAAATCGAAGATCGAGAGATAAATTTCCTCAAGACTATCGTTTCAAAGTATCTTCTAATAAACATCGGTATAATTTTATTTGAGCGGCATATTAAGATTATATCATGATAAAACAATTATTTTTCCCCCTCCAAGTTATAATATCAAACAAGAGGATGTTGAAGAATATCTAAAAATGTTTCAAGATATAATACGTATTTTAAATCAATAAAAAATTAAGCGCAAAGATTAAATCATTCATCTGAAAGGCATTAAAGTTTCTTTAGTAACGTAGCAATTACATTTTTTATTGATTTATTTGTGAAAAATATATATTGTGAATGCTTTATTTCGCGATATGATTGTTTTATGCATACGTATCCGAGATATTCACTTACTCCAGCGTTCAAGTTATCACGAAGAGAGAGCTTTCCGGGAGTTAATAAACGCGTGCACTTTCTTGTCAAATATAAACATCACTAATTAATCTATCTCGCTACCGAAGGGCGCCCCTTTACTGGGGTGAAAAAGGGAGCGGTTGACTTTCCGCACCACACCCTAATCCAGGCTTCATGCTCGCATAATCCTTGTGCTCCGTCAGGAAGAATGAATCTTTTTTTCTGGATAATATCCATCCGCGCGTGTAAAATATGATCCGAAAATATTTAACTTTAACGTAAGCGTGATATTATGTATATTTTGCCAGAGACACTCAGTCAATAAAAAAAAATTAAATAATTTAAGAACCAATGCGACAAAAAAGTAAGATATTTATAAATTGATTTAAGCAATTTTAATGACAATAAACTGTTAATGAATGAGTTAACATAGTTGACATTATTAATTTTTGATTGCTTTTAATCCGTTATTTCAAAGACTATACTTTCAAGAAACTGATTAATCAGTTAAATTTTCAGACAAAAATTTATTTACAATATTATAAAAAAATTATGTTAATATTCTAAAATTACAAATATTTGCTATGCTGAATTTTAGCGCCGTATCGACATCAAATATTCCGTAATTCCATAATGACATTCGTCATTACGATTATAAAATTCATTTAGAATTAAAAAAATTTTCGGAGAAAAAACTATAAATCTTCAAATTTAAAAAAATATCTCACTGCATCTTCATTACTGCAGCAAAACCGTGCATTTAAACTAGAAATGATCATACCTCGAGATGTAGATATTTCAAATCTTTAAAAAGAGATTTTCATTTATTAATCAGTGTGAGAATTTTTATCTGCGTTCGACAATATTTGAGAAGCAAAGTTAATCGATTACGCACGTATTTACGATCTTAACATTACGTGTACATATACATAGATAAAGAAACGTAAAAGGGTCTGTTTGTCTTGCTGGAACTCCATTCACCGGTCCTACGATTGAAATTTCGACACGTCACCCATCACGATCTGTAGACTGCAACCTCTGACATTTACGAACTACCCCCTTCTGCCATTATCACCGAGAGCATCGATGAGACCGCGCTCGTGACGATCGATCGATAAATCATTCCCGGAAAAAAGGGGATGGTCGGATACTGGTAATTTCCACAGAGGAGCAATATTTATTCATATATTTCATCCCCCTCTCCCGCCCCTCCAGTTTCGAATGATTTCTTAGTTAACTGATGAATAATCTTTGGATCACGCGCTTTTGATATTTTTCTCCGAACCCGAGATAAACTCGAGAAGCTTCGAAAATTCCTTATGATACAAATCGAACGAAATATAAATTTGAGATAAATCTCCATCTTGAACTGCAACAAAATGATCACGCCTGCTTTGACCGGGAATAGGACGAAGGACTGGTTAAACGAACGCGAGTTTGCTGCAAAGCATCGAAGCTACGTGTCCGACGATCGAAACCACTTTGACGAGCGAAGTGTCGTTTTGCGCGTCATCAATACAATTGATATAATCTCGTTATCTCGGTAAGCTTCGTTCGCGGAATCTCTTAGCTCGCAGCTCGCTCTCAAGATCGGCCACGAGGAGAGCAGGTGTGAGTGCGACGCGACTGTGCGTCTGTGAATATTACAAAATTTCACGTGACGAAGATATGCAGACGCGTATCGTGTGCGTAAAAGAGACACGTCAGTCAGACAAAGCCGGGATATCGAGAAAAAAAATTTAAGAAGAAAGAAACGTGAGGAATCTTTCGATCTCATGTCAGCGCGAATCACACCTCGCGGGTTTCTTCGCGAAAAATTGTTGCATGACGACGACGCGATGCTTGGTAAACACGACGTGAGATGACGCGAAATCGGAGTAGTATTTTTTATCGGAGTACCGTTTGCGACGCGAGGTCCTCTCGACGACGAACGTACCTTTCTTCGAATAGTCCATGATGCTGAGCCGAAGTCCGCGTGACGGCAGGCGACGTTTCGGTCGGCAGCCGAGAGATCACACCGTCGTGGGGGTTCGGAACTTCGGCATCTGCGTAACTGATTAGCACTTTAAAAACACCAGTCCCACGTCCACCCGATTCGGGAGTATATACGTCAACCGTGAGTCGCGAGTGCGACGCACCCGTGCAGTGATACACAGCCCCCGATCCCGAGTCACGAGAGACGCCGATCCCGCGGTGCACTCCGCCCCGGGATCCGGAGTTATCCGCTGCCGCACCGGTAATGCGAGTCCGATACCGAGAAGACGCCCGCGAAGTCGCGCATCGTGTGCGAGGTACGATCCGCGAGAAGCGTTCACACCCGCAATCACTCCCGCCGCGATCGCCTCCTCTCGCACACCGATAAGAAGACCCGCGCGGCGCGGCGAGTGCGTTGACGATCGATCGGGTGCCCCGTATACTCCGGATCTGCTTCTTCACCTTCTCCGATTCCGTTCGTCACCGCTCGACGCTCAGCAGCGCACTGAGCGCGTGTACCGCTCGTGGTCGAGTCGACGTCTGGGCGCGCACGGTGATCCCGAAACGAGAGGAACCCTCACGATCCACGGGAGAGGAAGAAGCGGGGGCGGCGACGGCGACGGTGGTGGCAGGGTAGGAGCGAAAAGGGTGGGCGGGGGATGCAATCCTCTCCGTCGAGCGCGCGTGGTGGGGGGAGCGGGGGGAGGGAGGCACGGCGAGAAGAGAGGATCGGGAGATCCATGAGAATGGGTCACGACGGGCCGACTCACCGCGCGGCAGTGCCTCTGACAACTTCTCTCAGCTCGCGCCGAGGTCCCATCATCCCTTCCTCCCATTGGTCCGCCGCCGCTCCGTCCGCTCCCTCGCCGCGCGGCTCCCTCTCGCGCGATCTCCCTCATCGGCACAGCTCCGCTCCGCTCCTTTCCTGACTCTCTGCGGTCATCCCCACTCACCAGGCCATACTCCCCGTCCATCCCTTCTACCTGCGCCCCCGCGCACCTATACCGGTACGCCCCGCCAGCGTTCCGTTCGACATCTACGTGGGTACATGGGCGCTCGAATGGAAATATTCTTCGACGGGAAAACGGCGGATTCTTACGGTTTTTTTTTTCTCACTTCTCTTCTCGAGATGTACTCGTCCTGGTCCTATGCCGTTGACCTTTTTTTTCGATCGAGTTTTTGTTTTCGGTACAACAACATATACACGCGAATATAAACCTGTGTATTCGTTTCAAGTACCTGATGAAATATCGACGCTTTGGTATGCCCTACTATTTGAGAATGGAATGTTAAAAAAGTATATTGGATGATGACAGCAGGAATTGATCAATATTATTTAATTGAAAATTAATTTGCGCATCGTTTGATTGTCCAAAGAAATGGAATATTTCGCACGGTGGTCTCGTAATATATTATCTCTGGAGTTTAAAGTCAGAACTATCGATTAATTTCTACTGTTTTATACATAAAAAGTAAATTAATCATTTACATATTGTAAACTCATAGAAAGTCTCTGAAATCATAAAAAATCTTTGAAAATATACTTATAAATTTGAGTAATTAAAATCATATGTTCTGTACTCCTTAGGCAACGTACAGATCATAGTTATTAGCTGCCACAGAACTATCTGAGAATGCACGTGATGGAAAGATATATCTCATTTATCTACACCTCTCACTGTTATTAATAATTATTCTTATCCTCGTTTACTCTTTCCGTATACTAGATTAAAAAATTTAGGAATTCACTACTATCTTTTTACACGCACATCTGAATCTTATCGGTGTTATTGCACAGCTTTTTTAATACAAGAAAAGCTGCGCGATGACACCGACAACTATCATATACAGAATATTACCCTTGCAGAAGTCCGTATATCGCTCAATAAATTATTGATTAATACACGTACAAAAGATCAAATTACAAATTATTTCAAATTTCAATTATAACTATTGTATACAAAATATTACCCTTGAATCCATGCAAAAATCCGTATATCTCAACATAAATTTTTGATTAATAAACGTATAAACGGACGGTTAAAATAATTTTTGTTATTCGTGGCAGCGTCCGTTTATACGTTTATTTAATCAATAATTTATATTAAGCGATAGTTATAATTAAAATTTGAAATAATTTATAATTCGTGACAGCGTTTCCGTTTATTAGTCAGTGATTGAGTTACGTAAGTCAACACAGTAAATTAATAAAGTGAAAAACAAAAGCGAACAAATAAGTAAACAATTTCAAATTGAAATTACTTTGCACGATACTTGCGGTTGCTTCCCTATTTTAACAAAAGAGGCTGTGGCCACTCAATACCCAATAACCTAATAATCTAAAATAATGGGTTAATAGCCCATCGAGTCTGATCAGCGTAGGACAACTATGTAGTGAACAACTCACCTGATGAAATAAATCAGCAATTTTGCGTTTATTAGTCAGTGAGTGAGTGATGTAAGTCAATACATTAAATAATTTAATGGAAATGATTTCCATTGTTCCGACCTTTGAATTTTATAATAACATTCGTTCGACTTTTGTCTTCGCTTTTTCAATCGATTTCCAATCGACCTACAACTGTCTACGATACAACAATATTTGTGAAGTCTTAACTTGTCCGTGTCAAGACAAAAGACCGTGTGAGTTTAGGGCAAAATTTTTACTCTTTCTCTTCCTTCTCATTGTCGGAGGATCGGGTTGGGATAATACACCCTGTGTCCCCGGTGCCTCGTGCCCCTCCTTACGGAGGCCTATGTACAATACGTTTTTCCATCGGAGGAAACCCTCGCCCTTCTCGCCCCTCGCCGCTTCCCCTCGCTCGCTCTCTCGACTCACGTCTCCTTTCAGACTCTTCTCTCCCCTCGCCCCCTCCCCCACTTGTCTCCTCGCGCTCTCGGCCGGTTCCCTCTCTTTCTCTCGGCGGCGCGCGGCGCCGCGCCGCGCCGATGTATCGCCGAAGCGGAGCTTCGTGTAGCTCGTACTCGAGCCGAGCCGAGTCGGCGCCCGACGCCGACGCATCTGCCACTCACACCAACACGACCACCCCCCTCGGCGGTGGATCGTCTCTTTGCCATCTACGTGCTCCGCGTCTGATGACGACGCGCCGCGCGGCCGCTTCCCTCCTCGGGATGGGCGAGCCCGCGGCTCCGATTCATCGATCTCTCACCTGATTTAGTCTCCCTATCTCGAAACCCAGTTTCACCCCCACTATGCGCCGTTGAGAACCTCTAATGAAATTACTCCGGAGCGGTATCGTGCAATATTGCGGGATGGAAACGTTATGGGAGAATCCGCGAGTCGGAGGCGATGGAAAGTAGTAGTGGAGCCTTAATAAAGTGAAAAATGCCCGTTATGATCGTACGCACGAATGCGCCTTGAAAGGAAATCTGCAATAGCACGTCGAAACGTTATTCGAATCGTCAAGACCGTTCGCGGCAATTTCGCCGATAAGGCACAAGGTCAACGTCATCGGACGGATGACGGAACGTTAGTTTGAGTTACGTAGATAATGTACGTTTGAATATTCGCACAACAATTTCGCCGAGACGTAGTGGACGGCGCGCGGCGGCCAGCCGATGCGCCATTTACGACTTTGATAAAGTCGCGAGAGAGGACACGCTTCGCTCCACTTGGAAATTATAAAACTTTTTATTAGTGGCGTATTTCACGCAAATATATTTCATGCAAGATTACAACGATAGAAAGTTCGTTTATACGAAATGATTAGATGAATAATCACGATAAATTAATAAAACATAATACATATAACGAAAAATAAATGAAATATATAGTAACACAAATTTTTTTACTCTAAACTGCGGAAAATTTAAACAAGAGCGATGCAAAATTTCGACTAGTTTATTTTACGAATCGAAAATCAACGAAGTCACAACTACCTCGCATTCTTTATGCAAGCCGTCAGGTAGGAAGTGAACCTTAATATGTCGATTGTGTTCTATTGTGACTTCAAAAATATTCCATAATGGGAGTGGGAAAAGAGGAAATGGATCGAATGCAGATCCATGAAAATGCTCGCAGAATAATAGAATATTGGTAGCAAGACTCCTATTATGGAATATTTTCGCATTCACACACAATAGAGAGTCGACATACTAAAACCCACTGTCTACCTGACGGTTTATACAAAGAATGCGAGGGTTGAAACTTTGGTTTCTGATTTATGAAATAAACTAGTTGTAATGGGTCTTGGGCTATTAAGACCACAGATCGAAAACTGCAGTATTTAATAGGGATATGCTAATTTCCGATACCTGGATCTCTGTCCATCGTGACATTACGCTTTCACAAGATTAAGTCGATAACCAGATGCTGCTGGGAGACTAATGAGTCCGAGACATAACCCATTGTCCGCATCCGGATTCTGTCGGAAGTCATATTAGATGCAAGGGTAAAAAACGGCACAAAAAACGCATGGACCAAAAGAGAGTACGAAGAAGCCTTTTTCCTACCTGAAAAGGGAACAATTGACTTTCCTGATACTGAAGGGTAAGCAGGCGAGCAAGAGGGTAAAATGCCTAGTAAAGCTGAATGGACCATTTGAAGCAGCCTTCAGAAAAATATATTAGCATACATACGACGTAGGAAGTTTGCAAAAGTGATTAAGCCCAAAATTTCCAGATATTATAAAATACATTCTGAAGTAAATAATTTATATCGCTTTAGAGTACACTGCACATATATTTAAAAGCATTAACAAACGAAAATTTTTCTTCTTGTCTATTGGTTTAAGAAATTAGCAATTTATGTTTCTAATAAAAAAAATGTATGTATATATTTGCTTTTAACAATAGATACACGCGCTTTCTCTCTTTTTTCGCTCTCTATCTTATTATTCATAGAATATAATTTTTAAAAAGACGCTGAGATATAAGGATCGAGAAAAATAAAAATATTTTTCATTGCAAGACTATTTACGACAAAAGTTTGATTATAGTACATTTATAAATTACATTTCGATGAATATTTATTTATTCCTTTTTTATCAATTTTTTCAAATAGATAACATTGTTCTGTTTGCGAGAATGTATTAATTAAATAAAAATATCTTGCTCGTGTTCTAATAATATAATTTTTTGCTACATATTTTTACATGCACATATATTCTTTTAGTAAAATTGTCTTACATTTGAATGAAAATCTATTAAGACTTAATTAAGATATCTGCTAAATTAATATCATATTCAATGTTAGCTGACGAACCAGATGTTATCATTTGTTTACGATATCGGAAATTAATTCTCCAAAGTTATCTATTTTCAAATAAATATAATACTAAAATTAGAAATGAAAATTAACTTTAAAATCATTTCTTGTTTTTTTCCAATTTATTTATCTGTTACATCTGAAAAATTATTTTTTTTAATACACTAAAGGTACATGATTTAAAATCGTGAGTCATAAATAATGATAATAAAAATATATGATTGTGAGTAATCAAAAAGAGAAAGCGAGATTAAAACGTGACGCTTCTCAATTTTACAAAATCAAAAACAGTTTC